AGTCTGAAATGTATCCCTGAAGGTCTGAGTTAGTTTAGGTTTTACGGCGGCTTGCCATGATTTAGCTGATAAACGTCCGAATTGCACAGATGAAAGAGCATTTGAGAGTTCTCTCCCGCAGTTGAGCCACCTTCACTTTCACACAGCAGCACTACACTATTTTGAATCAAGTGCAGGATGACCTCTTCTAATGACTTTCGTTGGCGTGCAATATCTTTTCTACACGTGTATGGTATTGATGTAGGTTTATTAATGACATTTTGGGACCCAAGCGTCGAACTATATTTCGGTGGTACAGTCTATATCAAGAGAAGAGAGTTGTAGACGAAGAGAACGAACCATCTCGGAGCTCAAGGTGGCCTACAGAAGTCGTCCAGGCCGTTCAAGACTACGTAAAGAGACACCCAACCTTTTACTTGGAGGCGCTACAGACCTACTTGATAGAAGAGCATTCTACAGTGAAGAACGTGTCGTTGTCAACTATTTGTCGCGATCTACATTTTGACTTCGGTCTTACCCGAAAGGTTCTCACACGTGCTGCCAGAAAAAGCGTGCCAGCAGAGGTGCGTAGTTTAAACTATTCATTGATATTTTACAAGTTTAAAACGTACATTTATAGGCCGCAAACTACAAGGCAAAGTTGCGCGCGATTTATTTTTTTCCTGAGCAGCTAGCTTTTATCGACGAAGCATCAAAAGACGGTCGACACGCCTATCGTAGGTACGGTTGGTCGCCTCGCAACACGCAAGTGTGTTGTAAAGCTACCATTTTCAAGAGGTCAGCGGCGCTCTATCTTCACTGCTATTGATTAGCATGGCTTTGTTGCGTGAGAGACGACACCAGGGCCGTTTACACGCTCGTCGTTTCACCGTGCGTTTTTGAAAAGGTCATACCCCTGATCAATCCCTGGCCTCTACCGAGATCTATCGTTATTCTAGACAACGCAAAAATTCACTTGCATAGTGAGTTGGAGCAAGTTGTCCACCAGACTGATGCACGGCTACTTTTCCTGCCTCCGTATTGCCCAGAACTAAACCCAATTGAAATTGGTTTTGGATCGCTAAAGAAATGGATCCAGCGAAACGCGAATTTAGTGTTCCCTCTCTATCCGGATGCGGTGCTGGAGGTGGGGATGAAAGCTTGTGTGGGCCGGGCTGAGCAAGGCGCTTTAGGAATCTATGAACATTGTGATTACGGTGCTGATTGTCTCCGTGACAAGCCATTTGAAACGCTAAGACAAACGATTAAAGAAGCACCGTTTTGATTCTTTTA